TGAGTGCTGCTCTTTTATGTTTTTTGCTAAAGCACAGGATTTTGATTGCACTGTAACAATGTCTACACTATATTTTAGATTGCATCGCAACTTTTGCAGAAGTCAAGACTCTAAATACTCCTTCAGCCACAAATCCATTAGCTAAAAGTTGAAATTCAGTAATTCTTTAGATTTAAAACTTTTATCTGTCTCATTTATTAAATCTAAGTATTTCCTCTGGCATCGCTATTCCTAAACAGGCACTTTTTTTCTGCCTGGAAATGATCGTAAATTGCTGGTTCCTTTGAGGTCTGTGAGGAATGAGAAAACCTGTCCAGCCGTAGATTTTTGTGTCTTATCTACAATAGGCTCAGCCCCCTATGCCATGAGGAGGCTTTTAACGAGACTGGCTATGAGACAAACAGAAAAAACAGTCAGGCAGAGACGATAGGAACGCAGTCCTGCAAAGGATTCAGAAAGGTACCAGGATACCCACACTGCCACCAGCTAAGCAGGTAATTAGTGTTTGACTTTGGTCAAAGGAGCTTGCAAAGAAAAGTTTCTGGACTTCTTTAAGTTGCTTGAAGACGTTTCACCTCTCATCCGAGAATCTTCTTCTGTTCTAAGGTCAAATGGCGGGGAGTCCCAGATTTAAACCTAGTGGGAGTATCCCTGCCAAAATGCCTTTATATGTATTTATAAAATTATTTTTAATAGCTTTCATGATGGTTTGTAACAAGTTTTTGTAACAAGGTGAAGGTAATGCTTTACATGTTTACTATTCCCAATGCTTTTCTGTGAACGCAATGTTAGAGAATAGTTAGATATATTCTTATGAAATAACTACTTCCCAACTAACCAGTACTCTAGATCAGTTAGGTGTTTTTCAGTTGCCAAGGCTTTTTGTAAATTATGTGGTGTGCACTCTCTGTTTTCTTTTTTTTGTTGCTTCTATGATGTGTGATAAAGAGAGGGAAATCAAACAGGCAGACTTAACGCTGTTAAAACTTTCCCTGAAATAAAACAAGCTTTTAGAGCTGTGAACTTTGTTCAAAGATGTACCTCTCAATGACTCCTTTTGTTAATAAATGCAAATTGTGTTATTTTTGTTCTAGGTGTTACTGTGAGTAGGCTCTAATGTGATAGGTAAATGAATAATTTAAGGTTAACTGAGTAGAAAGAAAAAACACCCTAATTGCTACAGGCAGGCTAAGGCTCATCTGTCAAAGCGTCTAACATGTCGCAACAACCGTCAAAATTATTCACAGCTGTGAACTCCACCTGTAAGGTCATCCTGACAGTGTTCTGGTGTGTGTGTGCAAGAGACAACGGGTGTGTCTATGTGTGTATTAATTGTTGTTCATCCCATCTACCTTTTCTGTCAAAATTTGACAGTGCACAGACCAAAACCCAGTGTCTGAGAGAGGAAATGGACCACAGGCTGCATACATGTCCAGCTTTAGAAGGAGCTGCTAAAACATGGTGTACTTCTCATGTTTCATGTTGTAACTTCAGGGCACAATGCTGTACTGCCTCTCTCAGCATTATTTTTCCCTGTTGCCTTTCATATAGAAAACTTGTTTTATATGATTTATCAAAATCATAAACAGCTTCTG